ACACTCACACAACGACAACAACAGTAAAAAAAATTAGACAAATATATATATATATATATATATATATATGTATATATATATATTTCCCTCCCCTTGGGGCTTCTTCTCGTGTGGAGGGCCGCTGCTGAAGTAGTGACGAGGAGCAGTGGCAGCAACCAACAAGAACAACAACAACAAAAAAAAGTATGAATGCGTGAGTGCAGTGGCGCTATTTTGAAATACAAAAAAGGAAGCTAAAGTTACGCGGTCGCCAATTGTCGCCGTTTACTCCGCCTGTCTCTTCCTTCCCACGGCCAGCAGCCTGTGTGTGTGGGAGAGAATGCCTGGACGAACTTTGGGGGAGCAGGCGAGTAGACGAGCCAACGACACACCTCTTCCCTGCCTTGCCTCGCCTGGGGCCACGCCGTCCTCGCTCTGTGTCGCGAAAATTGATTTGAGAGGAAGTTGTGAAGTGTGGGGAAGCAAGTGTAACTGCCTATCGGCTTTTTTTTTGTTTTCCCCTTTCTCGCCCTCTTCGTGTTGCTCTTCGCAGCCGAACACGTCGCCGCAGCCAACAACAAGGAAGGAGGATGGGAATGTGGGGAAGGGGCAAAAAAAAAACAACAACAGATGAAAGAGAATATAATAGGATGAAACAGGCAACCTCATTCAGGAAAAACACACAAGGGAGTGGAAGCATGCCGTGCAGGCACCCATGCAGATACGCAGGCGCACAAACGTTTATACGTGTGTATTTAAGTGGTGATTGCATGTGCCAATAAAAAAAACGGCACGGAAGGAGGGGAGTCAATCGGAGAGCGCGGGGTTCTCGCGGTTGGTTGTCGCCACTGTTTCCTCCGCGCCCTAATGGAAAGTGTTACCAGAGGTGCAGCATGTCACACACGTCCACCTCCTGCAGCTCCCCTGCATACTCCTCCCAGACATGTTCAAGGTGCGCATCCATCATTCGCTTCTTGCACGTGACCCACTCTTGCTCCTCCGCCGTCAGCATCGGGTCCGGCATCTCGGTGAGACGCGTTAGCAAAAAGAATTCATCAATGGCATCCAGGCACAAGAAAGACTGTTTACGCAGCATACGTGTCGCACTCTGCACTGCCACCTCTGCCTCAAAGCTGACCGAGTGGTATGTTCGCTGCAACCCAGCATCACAGCCACCACCAGCGCAGTGGCGAGAAAAGCTCAGTGTGGTGTCGTACAGCTCCGTGATGCGCTGCTCCAATCGCAGCAGCGGACTTGCAAAGGCGCTGGGAATTTCCCCCACACAATGCAGACTGCCGTCAGCGCAAGGCAGCAGCAGCGTTGGACCGACAAGTCGCAGCGAGGTGAGGCGTTCAGACCAAGTCACAAACGGAGTGTTGCGGAACCGCCAGGGTGACCGCCCTTGTGCGCTCGACTGAACCCGTAACGGAAGCGACGGCAGACGCACAGCGCGCGTCAGAATGCTGCTGTAACCCCCCTCAAGGCCAACGACGCGGGTGTCCGGCGCCGCATCTGACGCGAACCCCGGAGGATCCAAAAAGGCAACAGTAACGACATTCCGCTCACTGTCAGCACGAGCTACTCCATTACCGTAGACGGCTTGTGAATGAACACCCGCAAAAGCAGTAGGTTCCAGCGCACAGGTCTTGAGTGTAAACCCGACCCCACGCCAACGCGCCCAGTAAGAGGGGTCGACTTGCTCGAGAGCACTCAGTTGACTACCACCCGTATTCTCACCGCAACTTTGGTTAGTGCCGCGACCATCGTCTTCCTGATCGGTGGGAACAGTTTCCCATGCCTCGAGCTTCCCACCAGTACTCCCCTCGGGTACTAGCTGCATGTATTGGGTCCCCCACGCATATAACCCAGAGGAAAGAAACGGGTGACGCAGTGCCACCGTCGTGCATGCTGACCTCGTTTCGGAAAGGCAGAGAAGGGAAAGTGTAAGCCCCGCAAGGCGATACACTAGGACACGGTCCATGCCGGCCACCGCAACGAGGTGGTCGCCATCACATTCCTGCACAGAGATGTCAAGCACCCCACCTGTGGTGATGCAGGCCGCTGAGGATATGCGAAGCGGCTTCACATGCACAACCAAAAGCCGCCCCGACGTCGGATCGGTCGCGGCACCGCCCGTCTGCACCACCGTGCCAATAACAACAACATCGGCCAGAGAAGCTGACAGGGACTCGACGCATATAGGAATCTCTTTCGACGCCATCGGGAGGCCATCAATCACACGAAAAGACTCTGCGTCAACGGCACTAACAATTGAAGTGTCCTCCCCCCGGTCTGTAAGCGCCACAAGGGAGTTGGAGAGGGGCAGGTAAATGGCTTTGGTCAGTCTGTGGTCGTAGGCCGTGATAAAGGGAAGCTGCAATGCATGGGTCTCTTGGTACTTCACGGGGCCTCGTTGCAGGGTACCACTTCGACGACACTGAGACGCGCTCGTCACACCGGGCGGAAGCAGCTCCGGGAGGGACCAGACTGTAATGTGCATCCCATCCGACAGCACCAGCAGGTAAAAGGGTGCGGTGGGGAAGTACAGAACGAATCCACAACGAAGTGGCATCGGCCGAAAGTCGGGCCCACGGGCGAGACTCTCTCCTTTCTTCTTGCTACTACTGACATCGATGCCACTGCCGCTATGCAACGGCACAGGAGACAACGCGACACCCAGCTGCTCCTCCACAGCGGCAGCAGACCCCAACGCCACCATCTCCACTTTTTTGGCCCTCAATTGCCACGAGTTGGAAGTGCGGGCTGGCGACACTCCCACGAAGGAGCATCACGGGCAGACAAACGTCCGCCAGGAATGCTTCGCGTTCCGTATCCGCCATCGCCGTGAGGGTGGGAGTACCCTCTGCCGTAGTCGGACGCAACACGGCGACCGTGCGGTCGATGAAAGTTAGCCCCGCACCGCCATCCGGCAGGGAAAAACTTGAAGAAACAACGGCGTTGCCATGCAACACGTGGCACTGCGTGACACCTTCGCCTAGAAGCCATACAACAATCTCATGCGACCACAAACAGGCCGCGATGCCCCACTGGCGCGAGTCTGACATGCGCCACGCGACCAAATGCGAGACATCACCCTCCAAACTTTTCTGCACGATGAGACGTGGAGAGATGCTCCTACCCGCAAGTGAAAGAATTGAGACACGCTGTAAAACCGCAACAGCGAGAAATTCAGCTCCTGCGAAGCACGCATGGGATACGCAATCCACTCCTGGCATAATTTCTCTCAAAGGCTTGCGTGTCCCCGCAAGATTGAGACACGTGGGCGTACACTGCGCGAAAGCCAGGGGTGGCAAGGACGATACTGCTACAGCTTCGTCCTCTGCGGGCGCCGAGTGCACCGCAAGGGTCGGCTCATCCAACGCAAACCCCTCCACGTCATGCAACTCCTCCAGGTATCCCGCCGCCCCCCGCAAGAGGGCCGTGCGGGCGGCGGTGGTCACCAAAAAATAAAACACCACACTCGCTGGCCGCGACTCGGTCATGTGTGGCAGCGCGTACATCTGATGGACCCCAGCAAATGCCGCGTGGACGCGCACCGGCGATGCCACACCGGGCGACAGTCGCCGCAGCACGCCCTTCGAATATGCTACGACAAGGTCCATGCCGGGGCCAGCGCAGGCCGATGTCATGGCGCCATGGGAAATCACACCACCCACGGCGCGTCGTCCGATGAGGTCCACGAGGTACGTGTCAGCGACGCCGTCACTCAACAGCACGTAACGCTCCGTCACTGGGTGGGGCTGAAACCGTGTTGTACAACCACGCTTAAACGGCAGAATGGATACAGCACGGAAGCCGTGCGGCAAACCGCTAATTGACGCAATGGGCCACTCACCATCTTCACAATCCCCAGACTCAATGCTAGGTGCATCTAATATATTAGGAATGTCTTTGCCTGACCGCAAGACCTCAATGGAGAGCTCCGTCAGAAGACCACTTTCAAGCAGCAACCAAAGCACCTCTCCGGCCTCGCCCGGCTGCTGCAGCACCACAGCAGCGCATGGATGGCTCGAACTTCGTGCAACACGCATTGTCCTGTGATTGCCTACCATGTTGAGAACTGCTCCCAGCGGGGTGGCACCAACGCCCAGAACTGACAACACATGCATGCAACCCACAATTGAGAGCACTAACACACGATCTGAAAGCGTTAATACCAAATACGGGGAACCGCTTACCTTAAAATTCTTCAACAGTTTTCCACGCGAGGAACGCGAAAGGCCTCCAAAGACGCTTAAAGACGATCGGTGGGGAAAGACGAAGACGAAGCTTTCAGGCTCCTGAGAGGGAATTTCTGGCATCAGAGCCATGGACAAGATGTGGTCGTCGGATGTGCGGGAAAGCAACGTGACAGAGACAGGCGGAAAGCCATACAACTGGGCAATGGGCGGGGGCTTCTGTAAACGCTTTCGCCTCGTCAACTCTGCAACCGTAGAATGTACTAGCAGTTCCTCGTCGGATTGCTCCACCACGTCTCGTTTAAAAGGGGCGACACTACAGGAGAAGGGCCCGACACTCTGAGGAACGCTCAAGACCCATTTCTCAGTGAAAAAGGACTCAGGTGCATCCTTGGGTATATCAATGATTAATGTGTGCCGCACGCGGCGCAGAATGCTACACTGCACCGTCGTTCCATTCCCACCAATGGCGAATAACGGCCGTGCACCCACCATTGAAACCCCACCGGTTTGGCTGGCAGTCAAATTCCCACGATACAGGACAAGCCACGAGTTGTTGTGGTGCAATGCATCATTGCAGAGCCACGATTGAGGTGGAGCAGGCAAGTTTGCCTGGTATCGCCCTACTAAGAGATCAAAGTCCTGTGTAAGGACCACAAAGCACTGGTGCGCACACGCCACGAGCTCAACGGCGACGCTTCCAAGGTGCATCTCCTCCCTCGTGGGGACGAAGACGCAGGTCTCATTTCCACTCCGGTCAAACCTCCAAGCGGGCCGCTGCACGTGCAAGAACGAGGCCGTGGCAGTGAGAAGAATTGTGCTGCCATCTTCAAGACGGAGAGGACATGCGAGATGTGCCACAGAAGAGGGAATAAGTTGCCGCGTTGCCAACATTCTTGCCACACAGAGTGACACACACGCACCACCTGCCCCCGCCACCTCTTGTTGTTGTTGTTGTTGTTGTTGCTCCCACCCTTTGCTTTGAAGGAACTGCGTGGGCAGTCGTGAGACTCTCGAAAACAGGGTGCGTGGGTACAATGAGTGTGCCTCCCCCCTCCCCCACCGAGGCCGAAAAGAGATGAGTGTGCCTGTGCGTTTTCCTATACAAGAAACGCATACACGTATGCTTTAGTGTTGGGCAAGAGAAGAGGAACGGCAATGCGGCACCAGGAAGCAGAAAGAGGGAGAGAGGGTGAGGAAGCGGGAAAAAATCGACGAGAGGAAAACAAAAGCGATGGAAAGCAAACCGCAAAATAAATGCATTCATATATATATATATATATAAACACGACGCTGCTACTGCGAAGCCACGGAGCCTCTTCTTGGCCACGACGGCTGGGATTCAGCAGACTGCAACTGTTCGTCTAACACCGTTGCTGTGGCGGAGAAGGAACTGAGGCGCGCGTGCCCGCCAAAGCATTGGCTGCTCAGCGGTGATCCGTGCAGATACCGTCGCACCCAGCCCCGGGACGCCATAATGCCGGCGAAGCCCAATCCGTTGTTGGGTGCCGCGCTCTCAACGCTGGCAATCGACGTCGCCGTAGAGCTACTGAGTTCGGTGCGACTTGTCATACAGTTGAATGCAACTTGGGTTGTCTCCTCATCCGAGAAACCACTCTGCTGGCCGCGCTGGTAACTGGTCGGTCGTCCAGTGCTCATGGAGACACTGCCAGGCTTCATCTCGTCGTTGTCGTTCCAAAGTCTTCCTGTCGCTGCCCCGCCTTCACGTTCGGCTCCACCCAACGAACTCTCGCTTCCAGCCGCACTCAAAGTTGTGCCATTTGGGTGGATTTGTCCCGTCGCCTCCGTGCGTGACACGCGTGCTCCTGTAATGACACCGTTCGGAATGAGTTGCAACATCTCCTTCGTAAGCGGAAGGTGTGGCTCCGACTCCAGCCCCTGATCGGAAGTGCTGACGGCGGTGTCTGTATCACAGAATGTGTTGTCATCTTCAAAGACGCTTTCGCTCTTCGTCTGCTCCACCTCGCTTGGATTTGGATCAACGACGGTGGCAGAGGAAGGCAACGGTATCTCCTGCAGTAGCTGATTGACCGCGTGGTGGGTAAGGGTGTTAGGTGGGTCTTGTGCCCTGTACTCTAACCACACTGCCCGTGCGTACGGCCGCAGCGTCCCGTCCCTTGTGCAAAGGAGAACGACAGCCAGTGAGCCGCGGCGATGCGGCGGGGCAAGAAAGATAACGTAGCGGTGCTCTACAATGGTGCACGCCAACAGTGTTCGTCCTGTGGAGGCGCCGAGTGACACCACATACGGCGCACAATCGGGATCAAGGTAATTGACTGGTAGACACACGAGGGCGTGGCAGTTCGTCGAGGCAATAAACGGACGCTCCGGGCAGACAATGATGTGCGGTTGTGGCGTCTCGCTCTGTGAGGCCACATCTGACATGACGCTTCCGTCCCGATCTGATTCTCGTGACTTCAACAGGCGTATCTGCCGCGTCAGTTCCTTCACCTCCGCCTCAAGGTTGCGGATGCGGGCGGCGGAGCCGCCTGCCTCCACCTGATGCCCAGGAACAATAGAAGCATGCGGAGAGGCAGACGCAGCAGTGGGCGATGAAACTTGCGCTGCTGCTGTCGCCCGTGCCGGGCTGCAGGCGCGCATCCCCCACGTCGTCGGGCGCGGTGAGGCAAATTGGCTCACTGGAGAACCAGCGGTGTACGGACGTGAGTCTTCGTGGTTAAGCACCCAGAAACGAACACCGCCGCCCGTGCGCGACTCCTCCGGCACGCCTGGCGGCATTGCAAGCGATCTCCGTCCAAAAAGAGGCACCCCACCGGTCGACAACGTGGATGATGCTGATGACGCCGCTGGGGCTGTGGCCGCGCCTGCGGTGCCGCGGGTCGTCACCGCAGCCTCACTTTCGATCCACTCTGCCAGGCTCGCCGCCCCTTCGGGCGCGGGTGCAAAGCCCAACATCAGCATGAGATCCACGGCGCGATAGACGCCTTGCTTCTCGACCAAGCGGCGCCAGATGACGGGATTCATCAGGACGAAAACTGGTTTTTGGTACTTGGCAGAGTGGTACGCCGCCCGGTCCTTCTCAAACGGCGTGATATGTCGCCGCAGCAGTCGCCAGCGTGCGTCCAAATCTGGTGACCACAGCACTTCCGAGGCCCCCAACTCCTCGTCCTGAAGATGACTGGCGTCCATGGCACGTTGACCGAGCGAACCTGGCACAAAGGACAAAGTGATAACAGAACACTAAATAAAAAAAAGGGGGACCCAATAACTTCGCAGAGAGTAAGGGAAAGGAAGAATGCAGCTGTCGCGCTAGTATGGAGGGCCCCAAGGGTGTGTGTAGCGTGCCCTTTTCCTTCACTCACGCAAGCTTAGCTTTTGTATTTTTTCTTCTTCCTTTTTTTTCTATCTTAATCCGTTCAGACACTTTCCTCGTTTCGGTTCTCTCGCCCTCACCCACCTCATTGTATTCATGTCTCACCGCTCAAGTCTCCGCCCTCACCTTTTTTGCGGTCTCCGGCTCTGGCGCATCTCTGCCGACGCCGCTGCGCTTCTGTGCCCATAAGAACTGTCCCTGAAGGGACTTCTGCCGCCTCACTTCGTGTGCCGCCATGGCCGCCCGTATCAACGCCAAGACGCGTGGCGCAAGCAGGGCCGCCGTCTCCATGCAGTGGTTAAGCTCGTTAAGATGAACGCAGTGGCCCTCCGACTTGGACACGGAGCACACTTGTCCCTCCGCGTTGACCGCAACTACAACGGAGGAGGCCGCCGCAGTCGCCTCCGCGAAGGTCGGATCCACAACGACTTCGAGCAACTCTTTATTATCCCTGTGGTGCCGAGCCAATTTGTTGCGATCGCTGGAATTCATGGTGACGGCAAAGCTGAAGGAAAGTGGGGAGTGGTGCACGGAAAGCGGCACGGGCTCACGCTCGTGCGGTGGGTGCAGAATAACAGAGCTTCCTCGGATTGTGAGCTCCGGTCGTCGGTAGTGGAGCAGAACTGCCACCGTGGCCCACACCGCGACGTCCGTGACGTTCCCCTCGTCGTTCAGCACTGTGACGTCCACACTGACGCTCCACACACGTCGGCCGGGCAACACGCAGAGGCTCTCCGTGTCAACAACCCCGCCATTTTTAATGAGTCTCTCTAAAAATGCGGTCAATGTCTTCAATTCTGTCGACTTTGCGCTGCTATCACGTTCGGTGCACGGCCGCCGCACGGAGAACTCGAGCATGCCGTGCTTTGGCCTGTACGGGAAGGGCTCCACGAGCTCACACGCAATGGCGGCCGTGACGATGGTGCCGCCGCAACGCACGCAAACCACATCTCTGGAAAGAAGTGGAAACTCGACTTTCACTTCCCGCAGCTGCTGCGCCCCCCGCTGATCGGGCCTCAGTCCAGCAAGCCATGCAGACTTGGCGAACTCCACCTCACGCTGCGTCAGTGCGGGGCTGGCAATTGTCTGTAAGGCGCAACGATGCAGCATGATGCCTAATGCGTCCTCCCCCTCACTTCTTTTTGCGCGTATGTGTGCTTTATTTTCCACCCCTCACGTCCCACCTGCACACTTCTCTCTCGCGGCGCCACCGTTGTTCCTACGGGCTGGTGCTTACACCTGCGACACACACACACAGAGAGAAGGAGGGAAACAGCGAAGCGGACAAAAAAAAAAAAGGCTCGGTAGTCGTGGCAATACGAGACGAATAAGCAGAAGAACGCACAAGAACCGAATGCAAACATCAACGCGGAGAAGGGAAACCCATATATATATATATATATATATAGCGCGAGCTATGGAGAAATGTGTGCACGCGCGCGTGGTAGCCCTCATTCATCGCAGTCACTAGAATACGCCTCCACAGCGAAGTCCTGGTCTTCGTCCTCCAATATCTGGCTCTGTACCACACGCTGCGGTGACAAACCTCCTCCCGTCTCGAGTTCCTCCCTTGACCACAACTTCCTCGTCGCCTCACCGCTATTTAGTTCCTCTCGTCGGCGCCTCTGCTCCTCATCGAGCACTGCCGCGCTGCGAATGCGGTGATCGCGTTCAATGTCGTAGGCTGACATGTCAGGCTTTGTGAGCAATGCGGCCGTTATGCCGCAGCTGTCATCCTCCACATCGCGGTCGTCGGCCTCCGCCTCCACTGGGTTGAGACGCATCCACGAGGCTGCCGACTTGGCGGCAGCGGCCGCTGCCTTGCCTCTTCCGTAGAGCGGCAAGATTCCATCCACGGAGACGTCCGGGCCGAGTTCCATTGCATTTCTTGTCTTTTCCTCAATGCGCTCCATGCGTGCGCGGTGCTTCTCCCGCAGCACCTCTCGCTCCTCCTCCAGCCGCTGCTCCTCTGGCCGCCGCACATTGTGCTGGTAGAGAAAGTGGTGCTGCATCAGCAACCGCATCGCGAGTCGTGTGTCACCCTCCGCAAGACGCCGCTCCTCTCCTTCCTCGTCAACAACTTCCCCGCCGTTCTTCTTTGCCGAAGCCGCCCCCGCCGGCCTCTCCCTCCCGCTTCTGCCGGTCCCACCTCCGTTGCCTGCGCCACCGAGCGAGGCGGAGGTCCCGGGATGCGCGGTGCCCAACGCAGCTGGCGCCTGCGGTGTCTCCCATGACGACGTCTTGCGGTGAGGCGCAGCGGCGTTTTTTCTGCCTCTCCCCAGCGCCGCACGTTTGGGTGCCAAGGCAGAGCCCCTTGTGCCGAAGGAACGCTGCCCACCCACAGCTGCGGCACGCTGCAACGGCAAAACGCGCGTCCACCACAGCATCGTTTTTCCGCCTCTCTGTAATGCTACACGCACAGCAAGAGATATATATATATATATATAAAGAAAAAGAATACATTTTTATTTTAAACAAAGAAAGGGGGGAAAAATAGCGGCAAAACCAATCTGAGCAGCAGCGGGTGGGTGGTGGAACAACGAAGAGTGGCAGCATCACCCTCTCAGCAACCAGGCATGTGTGCTGCATTTGAAAGATACCCGGAAATATTAACATCATTCACCACGCGCAAGCAAACAAAGGGAGAGGGCAAAACGCACCGCGATAAAGCACATGAAGGCGCTCGTCTGCGCCTCAGACATACGGGTACAGATTTGTATTGGCATGCAACCATGCATATGTGAAAGCAGTACTTTTTTTTTTCCTTTTTTTTTAGCTTTCGTTGTGTACAAACTATGAGCAATGAAGAAAAAAAAACTGTGGGCCCGTGGAATAAAGTTAACATTCCTCGCACGCACCTCTCTCGGTCTGCGAAAAAGAAACAGACACAATGCCCACAACGATAAACAAACAAACAAAAACAAAAAACAAAAACAAATAACAACGCGGCGGACGAAATGCAGGGAAGGGAGGGAAGAAGACGGAAGAGTGCAAGAAGCATACCAACACACAAGAAATGGAAGTTCACGGGATAGAACTGAACAAGAAATAAAAGTAAGCAAATATCTACTCCGAGACAATGCCCTGCAGGAAGTGGAAATTGAAAAGGGGGAAGGAAAGCACAGAGGATGCGGCCAGCGGGACCACCTCACTTGGCGGCTGCTCACTGTATCTCTTGCAATCCCCCTCCCCTCCCTCCACGCACACAGAGGCAGGCGCAAGTATCGGGGCCCACTATTACAGTTCAAAATGAATTGACTATGAATACTCTGGGGTGAAACCGACAGAAATAAATTTTCATCTCATAATACGTTCCCTTCCTCGTTTCTTCGCCCGATTCTCCCACTTTTTCCTCCTTGCCAGAAACCCTAAGCGAGTGAATGGGGAGGCGCAACCGTCTGCACACAACCCTCACAGCAATACTGTACCGCCACAACAAAGCTGGAAGAGAAGAAAAAAAAAATCTGAGGAGTTGGGGGTCGCCGCCTGCACATGACAGGCATAATTTGGCGTGTGGCGCATGCCTGCAGCTGCACCGAGATACACATACGTACGTACACACATACGTAAGTACACACCCACACGTCGTTGGATACATTTGGCGCCGCCAAACCTCACGGGGAGTGAAGAAGCCCTCAACAAGAAACAAAAAAAAAATTTACGTCTGGGACCCCCCAAAAGCAACACCTAGTCCAAACACAAAATGCTCTCCTACGGCTCGATGCATCGCTCAGCATTAATTGTCCACTCATCATCACCCAATAAAAATAAAAATAAAAATATCTTTTGGCGCCCGGAAAGAAAGAAAAATAAAAAGAGTATGAGATTGCAAGATAACCGACACAACCTTCAATTGTGCCCACACACACACACACACACACGCCGGACGGGCGGACGACCGAAGGG